AAACAAAACAAAAAGCTTAGCACATGCGGCAAATTTGAGTACATTATTTAACGCCTTTTAGTAAGAAGGGCTAGTGAAAGCAGAGGGAGATGTCACAGAAGGTCTTTTGAAAGTCAATGTGTTTGCTGCTTTCATCATGGTGTTATACAAGGAGTTGTGTGCAAAGACGGAAGACGTCAGAAAAACAGATTGATAAGGACCCTTGAGATTTATCCACAATAAGCCATAAGTGAAAGCGTAATATGGAATGTACGGTCAAAGTCATGAAATTGGATATTTTACATAAGAAGAATTGATGAAAATTATTGCAATTTGTAAGTTAAATATTCACGAACATGTGACACCAGACATAATTGGATACAAGGCATGCACATTAAACCACCAGTACACCCGGACCTGGAGGCGTTCCACTGCGGGCCAAGCTTTGTGGAACTGCCCACGGTGCACTTCTTGTCTTTTTTGGATGGCGCCGCTAGGCAAAGTGGTCCGGACCCGAGACGCGAAATTTTTGCAGTAAGTGAAGAAACATTTTCTGCAAGGCTGGGGTTGTGTGCTGGCGGTTTAAAACTTCACCATTGGGTTTATAATCAAGACACTTGGACAAGGTACCGATGTACCAGTAATGCAGTGTTTTGAACATGAGCAGATGCTTTATGTCTTAACTGTTGGTACGGTAGAGTGAAAGGAGCAACAGGACTCGAGATGTGGCTCATGACAAAAGTAAATTGTGCAAGAAAATCAAGCAAACGAGCTGAATGTGGTATGAAATCCTTCTAAACCAAGAGATTGGATGCCATAATGTTATTACAATGAATGACAAAATGTATGACTTTCTTTAGTGGCAATATCACTACCAAAAACCATAATTTCTACACGCTTATTTTCTAGATTCAGTGCCATTTCACTGCAAATTCAATCATTTCTCCAACTTGAATCTTGTTCAATCCATAAACAAGTGCAATTTCATCTCCTACTGAAACCACTCGAGTTTTTTTTTGTTTTTTTTTTTTAACCATAGGACAATGCTCCAATCTACTCGTAGGGAGCAACACGTGTTGGGAATCGGGTCCGGTGTCCCTTGAGCAACATACTGAACAATTCCGAAATGCTGGGGCCATTACCCAACTTCGGCTGAGAAAACAAGAATATTCCTCGACTGATTTCATCCACTTGTAATTTGGTGTAATAATTTGTAATTCTTTGTTCTAAACTCATCAAGATATGAATGCTAAAATTTAAGGTTGTGAACGATCACAATAAACTCCTTGTAAACGAATATCTAATCCCTGAACACATGATTTTCGATTCTCATAACAGGTCAAAAAACAGTTACAAAGGACCAACAAAGAGGTATGCAACCCATGATGGAGCAGGAGGAAGAATCTTTCATGAATGTTTTAGATAGAATAACATCTATGAATTCTTTTGAGAGTTGGTGATCAGGGATGAAAGTTCATGAAACAGATCAGCTACGATAAGAATTGAGGCACATGTGTCCAAGCGCTTGAGATCATCAAAAAACAGTCTTACAAGCCTCGATCGATGCGAATGGATCGTTTTTTTGAACGAGTTATGTAAGGGATACGGGTGATCGACAATGCAACATGCCTCTGGCTGCGCTCACCTAGAGTTAGGGCTATCAGGCTATTTTGTCTGTTAAGCCTGTGGGACCAGGCCGTGGCCTGACCCCACAGGCCGTGTACTCATTCAATCCAGTCCAGTCCTGCCCAGTGCCATAGTCGGTACCAGGCCAGTCCGGTCCAGTCTAGTCAGTCCGCTGGGGATATACCCCATTTGCAGTCTGTTTCAGCCTCATTCTTCACTTGCACAGTTTGGAGTACGTGCGTGTTGAGTCTGCATTGGAGGTGTGCTGTCACTTCCAGCTCGATCTCCATCTCCCCCATCCTCATCCCTTTGTCTTGATCTTGACGGACCCCCATCCCAGCAGGTCCGTCACAGACAAAATGTGTTATGAAGCATTTGTAGTAATGTCAAAATTGTTTGAGGTCCCTAGGCATAAGAAATGGAGGATAATCTTGACCTTGGCTAAATCTACATGAATGCCTTCAGTGGACATATGGTTTCTAAGGTACTCGACTATATAGAAAGAGCAGGTTATCAAGCGGAAGTCATAGCCAACCAGAAAGAAGCGTGTCTCAAACAAGGGACACAAGAAGACTCGCATCAATAAAACCAAGTGTGGGCATGCTAGAAGAGTCACAACAGGCAGCAAATGGTTGCATGTCCTCTAGAACGGATGAAATAAAATACAATGATGAGGTATCCCATCTGATCGTGTACACGGTGGGGAAGCAAGGTTTCCATCTAGGTGGCTGCATACAACCAAAATGTGAACCACCAAATGTCCGAAAATGCGAAAACATTGTCCGCCAAAATGTAAGCGGAAAATTGTGTGCCAGAAAAATCTTACGGTGCCCATCCAACCACCAAAATTTCTTCAGAGTTTATTATCCCTCGCCCTCCTTTAGTTCTGGCCTGCACAATGGTGTTCCAAGCCAGTTGTCTTATAACGTTGGTGTTGTTGCTGCTTGCTTTCATCCAGAGACCTGCTTGTGGTTGAGTTACCATAAGGTCACCTTGTACCAGATCAACGTGAAAATGACGTTGTCGATCGCAAGGGCTCAGCCCATTAAGGATGATCGACTTGGCATCCCATTTGAACATCCTTGTGATCCCCAGGTCCACTAGAGCGTCTCCATGATCGGGTGGTGGGCCCAGTGCTGTGATATTTACCCCAAGCACCCTTTGGGCTGTTTCTTTGTCTTTCGAGGCCACCTGGGGATTGGACGGAAGGGAGGGGAGGGGAAGGGAGGGGAGGGGATGGGGGGGGCTGCCCTGAGGGTCCAGCCACCGTCCTTCCATTTTAGTACCCCAGTTGACCTTCATGTCCGCCGCAATCTCAAATAATTAAATGGTATGTACCAGCGTTTGAAAGCTCTCTTAAACCGCGAGTACCTTCTGAAACACTTTGCCGAACCGTTTTTTTTTTCACCTACCGAGCCTCTTGGGAATTGCAGATGACACTCACAGTTTCACCAATAATTGAGGAGGGTCCACGAAATTGCACCCTCCTTGTAGCCCTACAGATTTTCGGATGTATATGTGCAGCCATGATCTAGGGATCTGACATAGCAGTTGCACTATTCGCGGACTAGAGCGTTGTGCATTGGCAGAGGGAGATCGTGTGAGGTGAGCTACGTTCTTTTCTTTTCTTTTTTCCCATCCTTTTTTCCGTTTTCTTTGCGTCCATACGCAGTTGGTGGTACTGCGATAGGCCTTGGGAGTGCTTGGTGCGACAGCTTCGCGCATCGAACGACCGCCCCCCATCCCGTGGTTGTTCGGGTGGGCAGGGCGACGACGGTCGTCGGGTATGGTGCGAACGCAGTGTTTGGGCCGGGTGGTGGGGAGGTGTCCTTCGATCTCCATGGAGATGCCGTGTGTGTGTGTGTGTGTGTGTGTGTGTGTGTGTGTGTGTGTGTGTGTGT